AGTAGAAGCTCCTTCAGGTTGGCTCATGTATTCCTTCAACAGGACCTTAGCAGTTTCTGACAACTTCCTTGCTTTCAGGAATGACAACATGTCTCAGCCTCAATTTGCTCATCTCCTGTTTGAATGCATAGCTGTGTCAGACCTGGAGGCCGTTTATGCAACGGGCCATGGTTTCCTTCAGTGGAAAATGGCATTTAGGGGTTAAAATTTGAGTGCTTGCTTTTCAGTATACAAATACTTTTTTTAAAAAGAAAAAATAAATTAGTATAAATTAATATAATGCTATAATATAATAATCAGAATGATGAATTTCACCCTGGTACTTTTGATTCAAGTTAAGGATGACAGGATTTTTACTTAATTTGTATTTTATAACTGTATGGGTTTTTTTAAGCAGAAAATCTTGGTTCCTACTGCAATTGGCATATTACTAATTTTCTCTTACTATACATAAATATATATATATATACATATACATATGTGTGTATATGTATATATATATATACATATACATGTGTGTGTGTATATATATATATAAAATAGTTTCAAAACAACAATACAATTATACTAACAAAAATACAATGCAGTTTAAAATTTCTTAATGGGGTTTGTCCCTCATATATATCCCAATAGAAATATACTGCCAAATACTGTGATTTTAACACTTCAATCTCTCTTATCTAAGGAGTTATGACCCAAACTTAGTAATACACAGGTTGTTTTCAATTTTTAGAGATGGCTTTATTTTTATCATTTTGACTTAATGTTATTTTTAATTATATAAAACACTTACATGGTTCTTAACTCGAAATCATAAAACAGGTGCCTTCAGAGAAGCATAGCTTTCTTCCTGCCCCTGCTCCCTACCGTCTTCCCACCCCTACACATTGCCATTTTTGGTTCATTTTGTATTTATACCTCCATTCTTTCTTTTGGAAATATTAGTAAATGCGTTAATCTTTTGTTTTCATCCCTTCCTTATACAAAAGGTAGTGTGTACTATACTGTTCTGTGCCTGCTTCTATCAGGGTAATCATGGATCCTGGCGATGAGTCCACGGCCGTGCACACGGATCCTGCTGGTTCCTTTTCACAGCTGCAAAGTCCTCCATCGTGGGGATTACGGTTGGCAGGATCCTAAAGATGGTCCTCTCCCGAGATTCCCACCACCCTAGCTATTCAAACACTGATCTAGGTACTAAGGTCAAGAGAGTTTAAAGATGTAATTCAAGGCCCAATTCAATTAATCTTGAAGTATGTAGATTATCTGCATGAGTCCAACCCCAGCTGGTGAAACCTGTAAAAGGGGAGTTTTCTGTGGCTGGTGGCAGATGAGGGAGGTCAAAGCCATTTGCGGAGTTGAGGGTAGAGGGGATTCAAGGTGTAAGAAGCGTTCCTACTGGCTCCAGGAAATCGCCAGTGCAGAGGAAGGACAGCTTCTAGCAGCTGAGAGCAAGCTCCAGCCAGAAAGCAGCAAGGAAATGGGGACTTCAGTCCTACAGCCACAAGGACATGTATTCTGCCAACAATCAGCAAGCTCAGATGCAGACTGCAGCAGCAGCCTACACCTTCCCTTCAAGTCTGTGAGACGTGAGCAGAGGGTCCGGCTACATGGAGCCCTGACTCCTGACCAGAGTAATACATGTGCCTTGTCTTAAACCACTGAGCTGGTGGCAATTTGTCATGGCGGGAAGGGAACACACAAGGATGACCACGGTTCTCCAGCCAGTCTTCTGCTGATGGGTAGTTGAGTTGTGTGTAGGCTTTTGCCGTAACAAATAATGCCTAGTACATATGTCATTTCACTTGTCTGCTAACAGATCTTGGGACAGTGTATCCTAGAAGTGAGATGGCTGGGCCAAGAGTGAAAACTGTTTCTAGCTATTGCCATACTCCTCTTCATACTTTGCATTCCCACCAGCAATGCATGAGCGTCCCGCTTCTCCACAGCCTCACCATGAGATTACATTTTCAGACACTGTCAAAGCATTGAGTGATAAATGGTACCTTGGTGTGGTTTCTTTTATAATGAGGAATAATAATGTGCAGTTCTCTTGAAATGAAGAAGATGGAGCATTTACTCATAGATTTAAGGGTCAGTCTCATTTCCACGAACTGCCTGTTCAAAACTCTGGTCCCTGACATTCAGTATTATTCATCTTCAGCTTCAGGTGTACAGAGCAGTGGTCAGGCAACTACATGGTCCATGAAGTGATCTCCCTAATAAGACAAGTGCCCATCTGACCTCCTACAACAAAATCTTTACAACGTTATCTTCCCCAAACTGTATTTCATATCCCCGTAGCTATATTGTGATTACTAATTTGTACTTTCTAATCCCTTTACCTTGTCTGCCATCCCCAACCCCCTCCCATCTAGCAACCATCAGTTTTTGTTTGTTTGTTTGTTTTCCCCTATATCTGTGTGGAGTACAGTGTAGGGAATAGAGTCAATAGAATTATAACAGCTATAACTGTAACAGTTCAATTCAATGACAGGAAAAGGAGGTCATCCCGCTGAGCCTCACAGCCTGGGGCAGACTGGCCCCCACGTCAGTCCCACTCCCCATCTCCTGGAAACAGAAGTGCGGCCCCAACAACCATACACAGAAAGCACCTGCATTTTGGACCCTCCAGGAGCACCATGAGCTTGTATTCAGCCGGGCTTAGAAGGCAGGACATCACCTCCGCCACACAGCGAAGAAGACTGCGGCCCGCCCTTACCTCACCTTCCAGGGACACACGTGCGCGCACGCGCGCGCGCACACACACACACACACACATATGCACACACACGCACACACACGCGCGCGCACACGCACGCGCGCACACACACACACACACACACACACACACACACATGCACACACACACGCGCACATGCACGGACACACACACACACATCCTTCTCACTGTGCTGCTCTGGAGAGAGCAGAGTGCAGGTCCAGGTCAGAGTACACATTCAGGCCACCATCTTCCCACCACTACTGAAGTTTCTAAATTTTCATTCAGAGAGCGAAATTACAGCAATTTCCTGGGAGGACCAAATGCGTCATGCCCAGACCCTGGTGGTCTGACGTGGGTTAGCTCTTTCCAGGTAAGGAGTTTCTGGAGTTGGGGTCTCCAGGGGTGTTTTAGGTGAAACGATCGGAGTGGCTCTCAGAAGAAGTAACCCTTCATCGAACAGACACGGGGATGACCTACGGAAGCCAGCCATGCAAACATCTGGGGGAAGTCTGGTATGGGCGCAGGGAATGGCAACTGGGAACAGTCCCGAGGTGACTATCACAGGTTTCGCGTGTTTAAAAGCAACAAGAGAAACTATGGCAGGAATGGAGTGAGTGCAAAGAACAGCTATAGAAGATAAGGGCTTAGGGAGGGCCAGGAGCCAGAGGGAGGCCAGGCCGGGAAGCGGCAGGGGTGTCACTTCAGGGTGATGGGATGTCATTGGAAGAGTCTGAGCAGGGAAGAAACAAAAGCTGATTCGCACTGTGTGCGCGATACTCCAGTCGCTACACAGAGACCAGGCTGTGAGTCCAAGAAATGATGTAAGAACATCTGCTGAGAAACTATTGTTTGTCCGGGTGTAAAATGATGGTGGAGACGAGGAGCGATTAGAGGCCTCCTCAAAGCCAGGGGCGAGGCCTTTAAAAACAGACGACAGCAAGGTCTGCTTCCAGCCCTAATGGGCTAAAAGGGACAGGGTTCGCACTCCCATGGAAAACAACCAAAAAGTAGACAAAATACATGAAATCAGTTTTCAAGACGATGGACATAAAACAATGACGTACAGTGATCCCTGGGACATGAGAAACAAAGGAGGCCTGTTTGGAGCGTCCACATAACCTTCACTTAGAAGTGATTAGTCGGCAATGTAATGACATGCCAACAGGCAAGAATCAAGGAGGAACCCAACAGAATCCTACAAATACCTTCCAAGCAAGAACATGCTCAATTAAAGTCACATGCTCCTGAAGTGATACTGGCATGTGGCAGTGCCTACCTGTGTGAAAGACATCCTCAAAGATAACATACACAAAACTGCATTGGAGATGAGTGCTGACGGGGACGCTGGCAATGGCTTTGATAATGGGGACACTAACTATGACCCCTAATTAGGCAAACTGTTATCTCTTCCCCCAAAAAAAGAATTCTACTCTCCTCATTAGATCTGCATTACAAAAAAAAAAATTACTCAATTATTAGTAGCATATTTTTTATGTCAATAAAATATATATGAAAATTTGTTTTCCCTCTTGTTATGTAAGTGCCTACATAATGCCCACAATTTTGCCTCTTGGTCCACGAATCCTAAAATACTTACTCACTAGCTATTTACCAGAAAAATTTTGCCAATCCCTCATCTAGATCAAGTTCAGCAATGCCAGGGTCTCCTCAATATTCTACAATAAGTAAAAAGCTGGGCTGAGAAACGGACATTAAACCATGTTTTCAAGGTTCCTCTGGGCTTTCAACAGAGCATGTGGACTGGACAGCGCGGAAGATGTTCCTCAGGAAGAAGCATCAGAGCATGAAGGGCACCTGAGGCGCCTCCAGGAGAGCTTCGGGGAGGTGAGAGCCAGAGACAGGAAGAGATCCGCGAGCACAGGCCAGTCGAGAAGCTGCCCTGCGCCTTCCCCTACTGTACCAGGCAGCCCCTCTGGGCTTTCACCTCCCCATTCCAGAACCCCGCAATAACGGAACCCCAGCCGAAAAGACCTCCCAGAGACACACCAGGACCAGCGTTAGCACCCTCCCTTGGGTTATCCTCAGACCCGGGAAACTCCAGGTATCTCCCGCCACCCCAGTTCCATTCCCGAGGCCCTCTCTGAGTCTTCAGGGTTTCCACGCTGAGGCTGTATGTGAAATATCATACCCCTGGGAAAGTCCAGGGAAACAATTTCCATACCAGGCACACAGAGGCCAAGAAGCACTCTTATTGAAACTAATAAAACAGGCACCAAATTGAAGTTATTGATGAAATCATCAGAGAACGTCCTACCTTGACTGACAGCTGAGCAGCAGCATCTCGTGGTTATGAATCAAAATATACAGAAGAACCAGGAAGGCTTTTGCTCTAATGGAAGTTGAGGGGCTGTCAAGTAAACGGATAATTGTAGAGACAAAATCCTGTGGAGGACATTAAACATTTTTTTGAGAAAACACAAAATAAGGCAGTCAATTTCCAGAACAAAAAGATTATTATAATAACCGAACCGACAGCAAGAAATAAAATATCAACCACCATTTCTGCATTCTTATTTTGTGCCAGACTCTGCACTACCTTTTTAATATGTGTTGTTTTATCTCATTTTAAACCTGAAAATGAGCCATAAAATGTTGACAATATTACCCCTATTTTAAAAAGGAAACTGAATTTTGAAAGGTTCAGCCATTTGCCCAAATTCAAAGTTAAATTCAAAGCCAGGCCAGTCAGACAATAAAGCCTGCCTCTTACCCACTCCACCACACTAATGGAAGCGTGGCAGCAAATAACTAGAAGAACTGGCAGTCACGCCTGCACATAGACATGGACCTCTGAGCAAACCTGTACATACAGAGATCACTTCTCTAATATACACACCTGAGGTCCTACAGACATAAATACCCAACACACGACCCAAAAGAAAAACCTATAGTCCTATAGCTTCTTTAAAGATATAACACAACACGGGAATAAATATTGACAATACTGTTATTTTCTCTTCTAACAGAGAAAAACTGTACATCATTTCAGGTACCTACTGATACACAAAAAAGGAAATAACAGACAGACACACGTGCGCACGCGCACACGCGCACACACACATGCATGCGCGCGCGCACGCACACGCACGCACACACACACACACACACACACGGTTAATGAATGTAAGTAGGCAGGAATATGGAACTGTACTGTTAGCAAGATGGTTACAGACAGCAGGAATCTAAGTTCCCAAGAGTCCTTAACAGAGGCAAGCACCTAGCAGTGACACTGTGTCCAAGGCAGCTCAATTTTTTTGCCATGCCATAGTCCTTTCACATTGGGTGCCATATTGCCAGGCAGGAAGAATTTACAGTCGGGAATATGCTTCTATTTAAGGATGGAGCTATATCTCCATCTATGCATCACTCTCACCTGATTCCTGAGCCAAATAATCAAATTAATTCATCATCATTCTGATTGAAAACAGAATCAACACCAAGGTGTCCTTGAGTAACAGATCTGTTTTCACCCTTCCAGCACAGACAGGAGAAAGCCCATTTCCCCAAAGGCAACTCCCAATTCTAATTTATACTCTATGGTCAAGGGCCACGATCACAAATTGTTTCCCACATCAACACAACCCTATATATATACACACATAATTCAAAAACCATTCAAACAGCCACTAGCCATAGACTGAAAAACTCTTCCAGTTGTAGGACACAAAAGAGACATAACTAACTGCAATTCAAGATCTGCAAGTTTTGTGCCACATAAAAGAATATTACTGGTACAACTGCAAAATCTGAATAAGGGCTGTAGGTTAGCCAATAATCACGCTAAATAAATGTTAACTTCTAGATTAAATCCATGCCTTGTTTTTAGGGAGTATTCAGTGAAGTAATTGAAGGTAATGGAGCATCAGGTCTGCAACCTCTTCTCAAATGGGTAAGAAGAGAGAGAGAGAGAGAGAGAGAGAGAAACCATAAAGCAAACAGGGCAAAATGGTAACCTTTGGTGAATACAGGTGAATGTGGGTGAAGGGTATATTGCAATTCTTTGTATTACACATCCAACAGTAAACTCAGCGCCTAACAGGTGATCTGCTCTGAGGATCATCGATCCAATAGCTAAAAATAGAACTCTGAGCACCTCCCCTGACTTTCTTCCTCTTCCCTCCCATGGCCAACTGATCCCCAATTTCTGCGAGAACACCACCATCAGCATCACTGCCTTCTTTCAATGTACCATTCTATATTTCTTGAATTACTGTAACAGGCTTTATCTAACTTTGCTTTCTTCTATCTATGCTACAAGATGCAGCTACAGTGAGTTTCTATGACAGCAAATATGATTATTATTTACCTATAAAATATTCTCAATAGTTGCTACAACTCTTGAGATGAAGCCATTACTAAGAATCTTATAAAATTAAAATAATATGCTTATGATTTTGAGTGAAACAAACTAGACAAACTACAGCAAATATAAAAAATAAAAGATGCTGGGTACGAGATTTGTTTGTAACGCAACTCCGACTTCCTAAATGCCTGTATTACAGAAAATTTTGGATCTAAGCCTAAAAGCACCTTGTACCCTAAACAGATGCTCCTTTAGCCACTTCAGAAAAACTGAATGGGCGGTATTGACCGACACTCTGCAACTAATTGCCCAGGGCTCCATATTTAATCTTAAGTAACGGGCACCGCCCCTCTAGAACAGTATTAATCTTACAAACACTTGAGGAGGGGAGATTACAAGCTGCAGGCAAAGACTTTGCGCAGACGGTGAATAATCAAAATGACCTTTGGGAACCAAAAATGAACTCAGGTCACTTCAGTGTGCAATCCACTATGTGTTCGGCTTTGATTTAAATTCATCTTGCCATTCAGCTCAACATGCCTAAATATTACATGTGGAGTAAAAAGCAGAAGCTGTTTAAGTCTATAAGCCAAACCATAGCATGACAAGTTTACGTCCAATATTCAAATGCTACTTGGCAGTGATTTCAGAATGAACATATCTATCTAACATAAAGATGATATGGTGAAATAGTCCAAATGTTGGGAATGGGCCCAAATCTATGAAGCATCCATCACAAACAAAATAATATTATCAAAATTAAGCAAAAGGATGAAACATCCCTCGGGTACAGATATAAAGACAAAATTATTAGATGAAAAAAAAATGATGATGAGAACTTCAAGATTGTAAACCTCAAGCAGTAAAATTGATCTGCTTCAATCGCCTGTCACAGGTGAAAAGCAATGAGTACAGCCTGGCCATCAACTGCTAACAGCCTCAGGGAAAAACAATGAGAAATCTCGTGAATAACTATGCTGACACAATTTTCCTGTTTAATATTGACGGAAATGGAAAATGTGCTGATTAAATATAAAATTGTTTTTAGATTACACTTTCCTTAAAGAAGTTTAGCCAAATACCTGAGTAAAATGTCTCTCATAGAATACATTAAAGTAGATACACTAAAAATATCACAATACAAACACATAATCTGATTAATATGCATCAATTAATTATATTTTAAATGCTGGATTTGCAACCTTTGAGTCAGTATGCCTAGTGACTTGTGAGAAGAAAAAAAAACCTTAGCAGACTTAGCATTCAAATTTTTCAAAATTCCACAGGCATGAAATTTCATCCTGATCTTCCACAGTGTTTACAAATAACCGAGATCTGCAGCGTCTGGTTTATCATTAATCACTGTTGTGCTGCTTGGTCAAAATGCTAAACTCGAAGCAATGGCCCCAAACTACACTAAGATTAAAACGGACAGCAGCTATTGTCAAAATTAATAAGCAAATGCTTTACAAGGCAGCATCTCTAGTCAGTACCCTCAGAAGGATGTTACTAGCGAGCAAGAACAAACTAACCTATGAAATGTGGTATGGCTTTAAAAATTAATGTCTAAATCATTAAGTGACCCCCAAAGTGTGCATTACTGATTCTCCAGCTACGAAATTCAAAGTCACAAACCTCAGGAAAAAAAAGACTGAGGCAGATGTTTGAATCTATGTACCTTCAACAAGTCGATGTGAGTTTTTTAAGCTCAACTAATTGACATGCAGCAGAGGGGGGTTCCAGGAGCTTTAGATGCTTCTGATTTCCTAACATCAGGAATCTGGCACTGAGTTTTTAAGGTAAGTTTTTTTTTTAACCCACACCAGTGATTTATTTACAAAGGAGTTGTCTAGTTTAGTGTAATATTCATAGACTTCTCCCCTTCTCCCTATATGCCTTTATAAATACATATACATGTATATATGTACATACATATTGTGTATATATACATGTGGTGTGTGTCACTGAGGGTTTAGAATGACATACTATTCTGCCACCCTTATTCTCATTACTTGGCCGTAGCTTATTCAAACATAAAATTCATGAAAGTTATAAAGACATCACTGAATAGGAAAAAGTACGGATTACCAAACAATGCATAATTGATCCAATTTCTGTACAAAGATTCTAACAGCATGTGTGTGGCAGCAGGCGGTAGGGGGGTGCTTGAGTGTATGTGTATGTGCACATACATATGCACAACAAATATGAATCTGAAAGGTATATATCAAAAATTTTAAAGAGATTATCTTAGAAAGGTAAGCATTTTCTTCCAGTCTTCTGTATTCTGTATTCCATACATACTAGATTTTCTATACTAAACATGTAAACCCTAAAATTCATAAAGGTTATAAACATAATCTGATAAAAATAAGTTCACATTAGCTACTTTAAGTTTCTAGATACTATATAAGAAAAATGACCTCGTCCAATCTCTTTCTTCCCAAAAAAAAAGCAGGAAACACACTTATGAACTCTCAGACTCCTCCAGCCTCAGACCATGAAGATCGAACATTCATAGGACAACATTAACAGCTTGGAAGAACCAGAAAAATAAAACTGCAAAGTAAACCAGGAATTTAACAACAAAACAAAACAAAACAGCTCATAGGGCAAAGATAAGTACATAAACTCACACCTAACTGACAAGGTTCTTTCTTACACCTGGTCAAGCCTTCTGGACGCCTCTTGTTCATAGTCATTCAAGCACCTGAATTGTAAAAAGGTGATGCAACAAGTGCCTGTAAGGTACCATCTACCAATGGTTCAAAAGTATCCTGTGAAGCGTTGGGGGGTGAGGGGCAATGGAAAAGCAGTTTGACAATTTTTGTTTTGCCCGATTTGTCCAATGACTAGAATATGCAGAGCACATAATTTTAACTCGAGTCCTTTGTCACCATGGCTGTGAACGCTCACTTTTCACTTCGTGGTATATGGAACCAACACTTGTTTTGGATCAAGGCATCTTCTGCCATTTCGCACATCTATGGGCAAGCAGGGCCTTCTGGAGATGATGACACCAGTAATGAACGGGGCTGCTGTGTGTGGTCATCTGAGGACACTGATACCCGCACAGCTGATCTAGGCGAGAGTGCGAACTAAACAAATTCCCTCAGTACCTCAATATCCAGTCAAGAACATGAGCATGACTCAGAAGGGAATAATAATACAATCTAGTTGATCTAGTTGAAGATGAACACATGGCTAGAGTTACATACTTCAAATGGAGAATCAGATGCATTAACTGCGAACTAACTTCGAAAACAGGAAGTATACTACTAATTTAATAATCCTGAACTCCAGGTTTTATTGTAAGAGAACTCTTGCATGTGTCTTAATGACTGCCGGTGAAATTACAAGTGAGTGGTACTCTCATCATCTACCTTTCTAGAGGAAAATCTAGCATTATGTGGATAACACCTGTGGAACTCTATTAGCGGCGGACACAAGATGTCCGTAACAGGGCGTTCGCTGCATCGGGCTGAGTACCAACCAAAACATGAGAGCCAAGCAGTTAATAGTGGGGGAAGAGTTCAGTTATTATGGTGTCACAGAACGAAAAATTATGTAATAATTTAAATGTTCTTGGGGAATACTGAATGACACACACATTTTGATCTTAATTTTGTATATAAAAATGTGTATATAAAATACACAGACACACAAATAGACAAAAAGAGATAAACCAGTGTGTTAACAGCACCAATCTCTAGGTAGTGACATTACAGTTGATTTTGTTTTCTTCTTTGGGTTCTTCTAAATCTTCTGCAGTGAATAGTAACTTCTTTTATTTAAAAAACAATGGCATGGACCTCTTTGGGGGACTGTGTTTCAATTAAAAAATGCCATGATACACAGGCACCAGTTACCCAAAGAGAAGAACACATGCAGTTCCCTTCTCTCTGCCCAACAGTAAGCAGTAAACCCACTCTTGTTCCTGGATTCCTTCCTCTTCCACTCATCCGACCTCTATCAACGATCCAACACCTGAGGCTGCCTCAGCTTAGCAAGAAGGTGAGTCAACCTGCCCCTAAAATACACGTATATAGAGAAATACATGCACTTTAGGTAAAAATAAAACAATGACTACTGTGTCAAAACCCCGAAGAAAGGCCAGTTATCTCGACCGTGCTGGATCTGGTCTTTTTCCTCCTTCCCAGCCTGTGTCCATGTCCCTTACTCCCTGCAGCCTGTGCACAGCTGCGCTGCCTTCTTTCTCTTCCCGGACCTCCCCAACATCTCTCACGTCTCAGGAAAGCTGAACCACAAAGTTCTTGTTTTACTAGCTTTGTGAAATAGCTTATTGGAAACTAAATCAATCCAGGCCTGTACTGGGGGGGGGGGGGGGGGGGGAGCAAAACTGCTAAAACCCTCAGCAGCTATTATCACAACTTACACAGGAAAACTACTCAAATGGTACTTTCGCTCATACAATAACAACAATAATGATTTGAGAAATTTGGTAGCAATAATTAAAAATACAGACTGTCAGAAAAAAATACATTCTGAGGCTCAAATTTCTTAGCAGAATCTAAATCAGGCTAATTAAAGACAAGAAGAAGTGACTTGCTCTCTATTTTGACTTTCACAGATCAAGCTATGTGAACCTGACCATTAATAATAATTATTGACATTTTAACTTTGAGTATAAAACCCAAAATTTAATGTGTTGCATTCAATGCAGAGGAACCAGGGCAAACACTTATTTCAGTGGATCCATTCTACATTTAGCATTACCTTCACCATATTCTACAAACCTCCAATTTGACAGGTATCTCCCCTCCAAAAAGGGATAATTGGTCCAATAAGTTTAAAAAAACACTGTACATTACGTTCCCCTCATGAAGTTTTTATAATATACATGAGCATATGAAAAAAATGGGAAAGTCTGTACAATTGAAAATATCTAACTTTAACTCGGTCTTTTCAAATATATATATGTAACCATGGTCCACTTTTTTGATCTGTTAATACCTCACTGCACACACGTATTCCAGGACAGGGCTTCTCAAACCATAAAGTTCAAACAAAACAAATCATCTAGATATCTCATTAAAATGTCAATCCTGAATGAAATCTTACCATTTGCAACAATGTGGATGAACCTAGAGAACACTATGCTAAGTGAAATAAGTCAAAGAAAGACAAATACCATATGATCTCACTTATATGTGGAATCTAAAGAACTGAATAAATGAGCAAAGTAAACAGAAAAAAAAAAAAGTCAGTCCTTATTCGGCTGGCCTTAGGTGGGGCCTGAGGGTCTACATGGCTGACATACCTCCCAGATGATGCAGTGCTCTGGCCCAGAATCACTCTTTAGCAAGGCCTAGAGGACACGCTTTGACAAAGGTGACCCTACAAAGACTTCTCTATAGCTATCGTCTTGTGATGTGACTTTAATACTTACAAACTCTACTGTACATAAAATAAAGACAAAGGATTAGAAGGGGACTGAGTGAAAACAGGAGAAAGGGAGCTCTAAAGGTGATTTGCAATCAATAGCAAGGTATAAGGAAAGGAATAAAAATGAGTCAGAATATAAAGAGACCCCCCCACCCAAGGCAGGCAATGGATATGGGAAAAGAGGTGGGGGCTGAGGAGGAGATGGCGTAAGAAATACTAGCATATAAGACGGGACTCATTTTCTAACTTTTCATCACTAAAATGGGACAAGCGGGCAGAGCCATTTACTGGATTTCTATTTTAATCACTAAGAGACTCTCATAAATCCTCAGATGAATGGCCTATGATACACAGGTTTGGCAAACTTCACAAAGGCCCCTTGAGTTAAACAGTAAATTCTACAGAGATGATATTACTTGTTGAACTACTAACGCTGCAGAAGAGAACCATTTTTATAGTAGAGGCACAGGTGAAATCTGTGTCGAACCTTCTCTTGGATCAGTCTCTGGAGGTGAATCCCACGGGACAACAGAGCGGTGAATAAGGTCAGCATGGACTGCTGCACTTTGCAGATGGCAGATGCCAGCGAGCTCATCACCGAGTTCAGTCCCACCTTCTCAATGACGTTCTGGAAGGCGGTAGGAGAATGGCGAGTGATTCTGCACAAGGCCTGCAGAGACAGGAGGACACATCCGTCAGACAGCTCCAAGTGCATTCACCAGGCCCCAGAAAGGTAACAACGGCTTCTGGGTAAAGGAGCGGAAGGTACGTTCCTCGCTCCTTCATTACTTATTTCGGTGTAAGAAAGTTGGAAAAGTTGAGCACATTTAAAAATAAAACAACCCAGCTGCTAATGAAAACTAAAATGCTGTTTTAATACATTGGAGACTCTTAGAATAATGATCACATAAATGATGAGGAGCTAGCTAAAATGATCAACGAATTCATAAGTCTATATAGAAAAATTTCCCTTTAAGTAATAAGCATCATTAAGTGCCTTCTTTGTGCAGACACTAAGCTAAAGGCTGAACCAATCGCCATTAAAGTAAACATCTCACTTACTGTTTAGTATATCAAGAACACTATCTGAGAATATATGAAGACTATCTAATTTAATTCTCCCAACAACATATAACAAAGGTATTGTTATTATAGCTTGTAAAAACTAAGGCATAAAATATTTACCAAAAATTTGGTAATTTTACCAAAGACATATAAGTAGTAAGTGGCAAAGCTGAAATTCAAATCAGGTAGTCAGACCCCTAAGCTTTTCCTAAATTGCTCATAGACTATTAGAGGTAAAACTTGTAAATAAAAAATGTTAAAAGAACTTCTTTAAGAAGAAGAAAAAAAGATCAAAAATATGAATAAAATTGCAATAACTACGTATCTATCAACAAGTACTTTCTATGTAAATAGATTAAATACACCAATCATAAGACACAGGGTAGCTGAATGGATAAAAAAATAAAACCCTTAAATATGCTGCCTACAAGACACTCACTTCAGATCACAAGACACACACGCAGGCTGAAAGTAACAGGATGAATAAAGATATTTCATGGACTGGCCAAGTGGCTTGTTGGTTAAGAGTTGGCTTGGGAGCGCGAGCTCTGAGCAGCAGGGCTGCCAGTTCGGATCCCACATGGGCCAGAGATGCTGCGCCCTCTATAGCTAAGATGCTGAACAACAGCTCGATCTGGAGCTGGGCTGCTGTGAGTCGCTGGCAACAGCATAGGCTGCAGTGGGCTACCATGAGTGGTTGGCAGTCAAGCATGAGCAGCTGGCAACCAGCGTGAGCTACCATAAGCAGCCATCCAACGGCCGGCGAGCAACTGCCTCACCCGGGAAGAGCGCAATGGTAATACCAACATGGGCCAGTGAAGTGACATCATCCACAACTAGACTGAAGAACAAAAGGACAGCAACTTGTCTGTTCCCCTTTCCCGATTCCCCAATGCTGTTCACTCCCCCAATTCCCCAATAAAATCTTTTTTAAAAAATAAAAAGATATTTCATGAAAATGAAAATGAAAGAAAAAGCTGGAGTGGAAATACATGTACCAGACAAAATAGACTTTAAAACAAAGGCTATAACACAAGACAAAGAAGGACCCAGCAATCCCACTTCTGGGCATTTATCTGAAGAAGCCCAAAACGCTACTCTGAGGGAATGTGCGAATCCATATGTTCATAGCAGCATTGTTTAGAATGGCCAAGATTTGGAGACAGCCTGTGTATCAGTCAAAGAGGAGATGGTACATATATAGCACGGAATATTGCTCAACCATGGAAGGGAATGGGTTCTTGCCATCTGCAGCGGCATGGATAGACCTGGAGGTATAGTGCTTATTGGAGTAAGTCAGACAGAGAAAGACAAATACCATATGATTTCACTTATAGGTGAAATCTAAAGAACAAAATAAATGAACAAACAAAACAGAAACAGACTCATAGATACAGAGATTATTTTGATGGTTGCCAGATGGGAAGCAGGGGTTGGTGAGTGAAAAAGGTAACAGGATTAAGAAGTACAAATTGGTAGTTACAAAATAGTCATGGGGATGTAAAATATAGTATAAGGAATATAGTCAATAATGTTGTAATAACTGTATATGGTATCATTTGGGTTCTAGATTTATCGGGTGATCACCTCGTAAGTTATATAAATGTCTAATTGCTGTGTTGTACACCTGTAACTAATATAATGTGGTATGTCAACTGTAATTGAAAAATAAAAAATATATTAAAAAACTTGTTATTAATAAACTAATAGAATTTAACGAGTGTTATAATAGAAGTGAGCTCAGTAATGATGCTTGGAAAGGCAAAAAAGCAAGTCAACAACAGTTCCATATTTAAGATGATACTGAGCTAGTTTCTGAAGGATAAGTGGGGAATGGACAGGCGAGAAAATAAGAAAATTCTAGCCAGAGAAGAGAACGATTATTCACATGGAGACATAAAGATGTAGAGCATGTTCTAGGAAAGGCAAGCTGTCTGATGAAATTAGAACACACTTCTGGTAAAGGAAGAGAGGCAGAGAGTAGGAAAGAGGAAAACATGATCCATCTAGAAAAGCAGGTTGGACTCAGAAATGGTCTGCCAAGCTAGGACCTTTGAATTTTATGCCATAAGCAATGGGAAAACCTCAACAGTTTGAAGCAAAAGAGAGGGATGCTGATATTCTGTGTGCACGTGGGAGACTCCAAAGAGAGAAACAAATGAAAACCAGAAATAGTTTTACAAAAACATTCATTATAATTAATGTCATATAACCTCCTTCCTGATTTATACTTGAAACAGATTTATAACCTTGAGTAATAATGAAAAGATCAAGGATAAGATAAATTGTAAGAAATATAATGATGTCAAAAGAAAAAAAGGTAGGAGGGAGAGAAGGAAAAGATACAGACTTTGAAAAATATTTTCATTTTCTGAACATCTCAGGAAAAATATTAAATATTTTTTCTGTTCCTGAGAATGAACTTCCTTGAAAAGTTATTCCTATTGATAAAATAAGAAAAACAAGTGTTGACTGATATCAAACTCAAATCTTCCACCAAATTGAAATGTTTAAAGTAAATGTATTTATTTTATGCTAAACCTTACTTTCAATCTTCATGAAAATGCTAATGTGACCTTATTACAACCAGAAAGGAAAAGGTAAATGCACATAGTAACAATGAAAATCTAGAGAAACCTTCTCCGATTGCTGTTCAAATTTTTCAAATAAATACATATTATTCTGTAAGGATTTTAATTACACTCTAATGCCATGAGTATATTAGGCATTTTCAAAATTACTATATGGAAATAAACATTTACGGGAAAGTTGACTTTATTAATAATGTATATATTTACTATCATTTCTGAAGTTACTGAGTAAACAAATATACTGAAAAATGAACATTTGTGAAGAGCTACATATATACTGTTTCCTAGAACAATCACCCAAAAAAGTGTCCCTTTCCTTATGGAACTGATTATCATATAAAAGTCTTGATATACTTACAAAAGTCTTGTTTTAATCATCATTGACAAACGAAAACAGGATCTCAAACTAATATCTGCACTCCCATGTTCACTGCAGCATTATTCGCAATAGCCAAGGTATGGAAACAACCTAAGCGTCCAGCAACAGGTGAATAAAGGTGTGGTACATACATACAACGGAATATTACTCAGCCGTGAGAAAGAAGAAAATCTTGCCATTTGCGACAACATGGGTGGACCTTGAAGGCATTATGTTAAGTGAGATGAGTCAGACAGAGAAAGACAAATACTGTATGATATCACTTAGATGTGGAATCTTAAAAAGCTGAGCTCATAGAAACAGAGAGTAGAACAGTGGTTATCAAGGGCAAGAGGGTGGGGGAAGTGGGGAGAGGTTGGTCCAACAGTACAAACTTCCCATTTTAAGATGAGTAAATTCTAGAAATCTAATGTACAACATGGTAATTATAGTTAATAATATTGTAATATATACTTGAAAGTTGCTAAGAGAATAAATAGATCTGAAGTGTTTCTCCACAAAAGAGAAGTGGTAGCTATGTGATGTGATGGAGGTGTTAGCCAACGCCTATGACGACCAACATTCTGCAATACGTAAGTACCAAATCAACATGAGGTACACCTTAAATTTACACAATGTCTGTTATATGTCAACTACATCTCAATAAATCTGGAAGAAAATAATAATCATTGACTCCATTTCAAACATAGACCAAGAATCTGTATTCACTTACAGATAGCCATATCAGGATGAAATTCCATGATATAAACTCTACTTTGGACACCTTCCAAATAACATTTCATTCTCTCCTTTATTACATACAGGTGAGTAAGTTTATAAGCTATGAAAGTAGGGTTCTTCAAGTCTCAAACCCAAATGGTGTAAGTTTTGGTAGAAAAGTAGCAGCTAATATCTGAACACAGGAATATGAAAAATAAATTCACTAAAACAATGCTGGTTTTGAAAGTGAAAGTTTTTAAAAATTCATTTGTAATAAACCTAAGAAAATTTCTGTTTATGAGATCAAAACAGAATTGTTTCATTATTTTTATTATCCAAGGATTAAAAAATGAGAACATTTTATATGGAGTCCCTCAAGATCATGCTACAATCAGAACTGCTCAAGCAAATTAAGGGTTCTCCCAACGGGGACTTCAACACAGAGAAACAGTAGTTCTCATCAGCAAAACTGACTTCCTAATAATATAAAATCCCTACCCGATGATAATGGGGACACTTCATGATAAAAGATTTGCTCAAGCTATGTCTAAGTATATTCAAAGCAATTGAAAGGAAATGAATGATCTTGTCTTCAGAATGCTGCTCACAAGCCTAAGAGACTTTCCATTTCACTGGTCACTTCTGGATAACAAACAGAGTTGAGAGCTTCACGGAGGCTTAAGAGCTCATTAGTGCTTGTTGTATTTTCTGAATCAAAAAATAAATAAACCTCAAGTCTGGTCTTCAGTGATTTGGTTTTGAAGTATTTACTTTTTAAAAAGAGTTTGAGACTCTATTCTACAACTATAAAGAACAGTTCCAGTTCAAAATTTGCTTCAAAAAGAACACGATATTATCCCCAGAACTTGAGTCTATTTAATAAAAGCTTTCTAAGAAACACACTAATTCAAAAGAGAAGGCTGCATATATATTAGA